AACAGTCCTTTAGAAGATTCAATAGCGTAAAGACGTTTCCTCTGAGTCCGTCAATAAATAGCATATCACAAAGTTAAAAGACTATTTCATTTTCATAACCCATTTCCAATAGAGGTTTTATGAAAAAAGCAACGATATTTCACCGAAGTTCAAGGTTTATCAATAAATTTTCAATTCCGGTTATCGCGAAGTTTACGTGAAATGAACACCGTTTTGGTTGAAAGTTATGCGTAAATGTTGCTCAGCTCGTCGCGACGATTTCGCATTCTGTCGCCTTAGGCACTCGTTAGCATAATACCGAAACTGTTCGACAAGTGAGACCGTGTTATTGCACGTGGGAAAAAATGCATTTCTGTGTCACGCACAACGTGTCCTGGATTCTTCGAGATTTACGTCGGTGTGATTTACATTTACAGAGTTAACGTTTAATCACACCTAATAAATAAACCAATTTTTACCATAAGTGCGTGCTAATATACAGCGTTCGCTACTATTCGCGGAAGATTTTCGGACCTATCTTCGCGAATACGAGTGTCTCATTGTGCTACGATTGATTCGCTATGGTGAATCTAGTATGAATATCATATTATCGGTGTTTTTGTGACAACTAAATATAAATACAGTGGGATCCGGTTATTATGATCTCGGATAATCATTACGCTGCGAATCTTTATGCAAATTCATATTTTCACGGATATATTAAAAAGAAAAAGATAGACAACTGTTTTATTCGCTAAATATTATAATAAGTACTATATTTTGAGTTCTTCGTATATTTTTGCTTATTACGCGCGTCTGTGTACTTTTGTGTCTTCAAATTTTCCGGAAACGCGTAAAAATCCGCAGTCTAGTTATCGTAATCAGCTGGTGCCGAAACATTCTACATAAAATTAGTTAAACTTCGGCTATTTGTACCAATTGTGATAACTACACCTTGGAACAAACGATAAGAATTGTTAGCGAATTCGTACTTTTCTTCGGAACTTTCTTTCAACAAAAGCGTACCTTTTATCTTTCGCACGAGTACACGGCAAGAATTCATAGGAAATACGTAACAAACGTACTTAAACAAACGACAGATAACACTCGATAAGTTTTTCAAATAAACTTTGCGTTGTTATCGAAAACAGTTCTCTATAAGGAAGGTAGCGTAAGTGTGTAACGTTGTACTAAGTTCGTTGTAAATATAAATTGTACAAATGTCATAATTCTTTGTACTTATTTGTATCACATTATTAATTTGAGTTCAATAATAGCAAACATTTTATTCTCTGCTTCCTCTTATCAGTCGATTATTCTTATCGAAAATTGCAAGTCCCAAAGCGGTCGTAACAAGCAAATTCCATTGTCTAATAAAAACGCAAATGCGCATTCTCTAAACAGAAACGATGGAAATTTTTTGCACAGACGACACTTTTTCACAGAAGAAAATGACAGATACTTAGGATACGGGAGCCATTGGAATCGATCTGATACGAAATTCCTCGAAGAATTCCGCCGCGTGAACGGCCGTGAACGACAGAATTGAAAATCTCGCCGGCGTCGAGTTTTAGCCACCATAAAGTCTTTTCAACTCTCGTGGTGACGACGGAGTTTCTCCGTCATGCTGTCGCGATTTCCCAGCCACCGGCGTTGCTCGTAAATGTGTGCACGAGAATTTTAATATCCGTAGCCGTTAGGCTGATATTAACGATTCTTTAACAGCGACAACGATTTTGCAAATTTCAACAGCCACCAAACGGACCTTTGAAAATGCCCTACCAATACCCGATTATCACGTTATTACCTTGGTGCGTTGAGTATTAGGTGCAGTTTGTGTTTCGTACCGTGCTCCTATTTATTCGGTTATAAGGCGTCACGGTCTTTTCTCAACCCAATGTGGAATGGGATGAAGATTGTAACGAATATGTTTAGTGTGGTTGTTGTTCGGTTATGAGTTGCTTTTGAGGTGGGTGAGGAACGTCGTTACACTGTTTTCACCTCAGTTTATTAAAATACAAGTATATGGTCGGCGTAAAATTGGTCCAGCAAATACAATCGTTTACTTTGTTAATTGTCCCGGTGGCAGCGGTTCGACGGGTACGTCGCGATGGTCGGTAAAGGAACAAACTGTCCGGAGGTGTAGGCGTACCGGGTTTTTATATTGTGAGGACAGGGAGACAGGAGTAGCGATAGATAAGGATAGAAGTGGAGAAAGTGGTGGAAACGGAAAATTCGTTCGTCTTCGTGCGAACCTGGATGCCACATGTGCGCTTCTTAGGCTACTCGAGGACGAAGGCAAGTCTTAACCCGGGGGGAGACAAAAGAACGGAAGGAGTTGGAAAAGAGAAACTTCGCGTGGAAGAATAGAACGACGTTCGGTAAGGGTTTGTTGACGACGACGTACCCGCCACACTTTATTGTGGAGCCGTGGTTCGGCTTCTTGTTACAAGGCTCCTTTTTTTTGACTCAATTCTTTTTTTTTTTAAACAGGCTTGCGCCTGTGTAGCTTGTTGCTTGAATTTGGCGCAGAGTCACCTGGCGTAGATCCGCCCTATACCCTAAAAGAATTTGGAAAAATTAGGTAGCCTAAAATAAAATTTTTATTAATTTAAAAAGTAAAGTAGAAGTCATGCAGGAAAAGTTGCAAAAAACCTGCTAAAACCTGATAAACTCCTTTTTTTGGACTGTATGTTAAACGGGGCTGCTTATGTATATTTTCCCGTAGCTGTAGGTTCGAGGAAAGGACCAATCAACGCCTTTCCCGAAGTAAGGTCCTTTTCGCGAGTTTCCATTGGCAGGTAAAGACCGGCGTCGCAAGTCAACGTGAGGGGTCGTCGGTCGCGTCAATGTTTCGTGTTTGAGGACGTGATAGTTTGAACTCGAAATTTTTAAAAAAATTTTCTTCTCAATAACTCCCTATTATTTTAAGGATTTTACTTGAAATGCACTTCAAAAGACATTTGGTCGACAGGAACCAATTTAAACAATTTGTTTTACCAATAATATTGGAAATAGCATTAAGCCTGTACATTTCTCTTTCTTCTTATCTCTCTTAATTCTTCTTCGTTTCTTCTCTCTCGTTCTTATCTCAGATTCGAATTTTTATCGAAACGCAGACACGGAGGGATTTGTAGAGGCATTCGTATTGCAAATGACGCTTCGTATAAACGCGAAACCAATTTCTATCGCGAAGACTCGAAGCTTTCGAACTATGCCAAGCAAATTGTCGGTTTTATACGTCAGTCTGTCCGCTGCGGATCTTGTTGCGCGCGTTCATTAGTGCAGATAATAGTATTGTTCCACGTTGACATTTTAATAAGCGGGACACGGGTGAATTCGTAGCTGTCAGATGAAATTTCGAAATTTCATCCGACGACGAACACACTGCAAAGACGATCTTCTTCGAAACTGTATACTTTTTCCAGCGATTTATTTTACCTAAATTTCGATTATTTTCGTCGTACTACGAGTACACTTAGACGAGGTATTTTGTCCAAATTACTTATTTCTTATTTTGCAAATTTGTCGTTGGAGAATACAGAATTCGTCAATTCACATTGCTCCTCGATCTCTAACAGCTTTCTCGATATTAGACTAAATATATTTGCTACCTCCAACTTTCAACGCGATTTTCATCCCTTACAATAAAAAAACACCTGTCAAATATTTTTTTTACTACTACAGTATACCAAAGTTTCACCAATATCGGCGATCATCGTTTAGGGATGTTCCCTTGAAAGTTGAAAATTTCGAAAAAAAGTTTCCCTTAGCTTAGAAATAACTCGAAATATTTCTGTCCATTGTCCATCGCGTTGCGTGCAAATACGAAATGATATGCAGGACGACCTTGCTCAACCTGAGGATAATCAGGAGACAGAATTTAGGCAGAAACGGAGCTGGAGCCGCGCTGACCCGAGACCAAGATTGACTTTTCCGTGTTGCGATAGTCTACGAAGTTTCGCAGGTATTTTCGGAGGGAAGGTGCGAGCTCGGCAGCGAAGTTCGCGGAATTGTTCTCGTTAGGTGAATCACGTTCGTACGACTAGGGTGTAACGCGGCGAAAGTTCAAAGTTCGACGAGAATCATTTGTTCCTCGGTACGATACTTCACCTCGAAGAGCGAACAAGGCGTTCGAGTGTGCTTTCTTGCTGAGCCAATGTCCGACGAAGGAAATATTGTTAGCAGATTAGCAGGTCCGGCATAGCGAACGATTTCCTCGAAAACTGATCAGAAAGTAATAAAAAGAGAAGAAAAGTGAAACTGGAAAATTGTTTCTTCTAATTCGTTTATTGTACATCGCATCAACCGCTAAACAGTTAAGTTACCGGGGACTCAGATTACGGGGCGGAATTTACAATTTTTGGAGAAGGAAATGGTAAGCTTAGTTTTCGTTGTTTCGTCGAATGTAAGGGGAAAGGATCGAGAGAAAGGATTACACTCACCTCGATTACCGAATGTCAAAATGAAAAGCGAAGCGATACCGAGGTATAGAAAATACTAACTTCTGCTCTAGATTGTCGTTGACCTCGACGACGAAGATCGAGGAAATTTCGAACGCGGGAGCTTTCGGGTAACGATCGTAATTTCTCTAGTCGTGTTTCACCATTCGTCGGGCACAGGCTGTCTCGGCAAGTGCGAATCCCTGTGACATAAATTTCTACGCGAACCAGCCAAGACACCGAGTGTCCCACGCTGGTGTCGCGTAGAACGCGGACTGATTGCCGTGGAAATTGGCCAGGAAGGGTGAAGAGAGGCGGTCGATAAGCGATCCCTTCGACACAATCCTCTTTTCCTCTCCGTGTCGGGTTAACAGCGTGAAACTCGATTTTCTTTCCGGCTGATCTTCGTCTGTGTGTGAGTGTGTGCGCGCGCGGGATCGTTTGTAAAATGATATGCAACAGGTGTTTAATAAATTTACACCGCGGTGCGTTATAGTCTGTACTATAAACCGCTTCAGATATGGATCGAACACATGAAAATAATAGAAAAAGCTGTATATATGCTCTATTTGCCTTTGCTTTTTTTTTACACTTTTACATATCTGAGGTGCGCGTCGATCGTCGACGCGCCTTATCGAATCGCGCGCACTTCTAAGCTTATCTGCGGGTAGAAAAATTATAGTTAAACGTTATAGAAAAATAGTACGTTGGGGGGAAGGAGGGAAAAAGAAGTACATGTTTTATCGATAATCTTTCGCGAACGTGCTGCGTTAATTAATCCCGACTCTGGTTACGTCTAGTACCGTGACTTGTTTGTTTTTCTTCTTCTTCTCGCGACACTGCGCCGAACGTTATCGATATGCAGTTAAACGTTCTCGTTGTCGCGTTAATCTGTTCGATCTTTCGTACTTTTCGTCGCGCGGGGCATCTTTTCATCTTCGAACACATACGTCGCAGGGTCATTGGAAAGTGGGATCAGTGGGAAAATTCTGTTTACGGTCTATAGAAGAGAATAAGCAGCAGAAAACTGAGGAATGAGAGGCTCATCATCGTAGCTCCCGATTTCACCAAAACTAGGGCCGCGCCTTGAGGTACCTCGATGAGTGACCGATCGACAATACCGCTGAAAGAAATAGCAGAAATAGCATCGTTAAAAAATCGTGTCTGTCGTGT